AGAATATTTCAATAACGAAAAATAGTTGACATACGAGTTTTTTGCTCAAGATAGATCATAATAACGGCATATACAAATTAAAGTACGAAAATTGGTCGTAATGATTAAACGATTGACCCATGATTCTGTATTCAATTTAAAATGATTACAAATTTTTGATGCCCGAGTACATGAATAAGTAAATCTATAAATTGTGAACATGATTCAGATATTAGTTATTAGAGATTTTTTAAACAAACGAGAAACCATCGAAAGAAAAAATGTCAAGAATAGACTCACTAGAAAATATATAGACAATATATTGTCGATATTTCTCCATTGACTTGTTTTTCCAAACGGCTTTATTCAACAGTACTCTCTTCTTTTTAATCTCAATCAACATTGATTCATTCCTCACAAAGAAAGAATGTTACTAAACAAAAAAATAAGAATGAACAAATCAAATACATTTCGTAGGAATAATTTTATTCTCATGCTTGATCACCTATTTAATCTTTTAAATAATCTTCTTTTGCACAACATATGTAAAGTTAAACTATCAACTAAAATGGTGACACAAAGTTTAACAACAATGTATTTTTGACTTTTTTTGTAATGTTAAGCACCTAGCTAATACAGCCTTCTAAAAGTCGGAGAGGGTAGTTTTCAGGTTTCAAAAGACTTTCTCGAACCTCTTTTTAACAATATTACTCTAAAAAAAATAGATTGAGGGATCAGCGCATTTTGCTACCACCTTTCTTTAAAACTCTAAAGGCATTACAAAAACAAAACAAAAACGAAATTTATTAAGAAAATTGACTAAAAACACTTCTTTTTTCGGTTCATCTAATACTTAACTTTGTAAGAGAATGTTGTGGAAAATGCGGCGATCCAACCTTTTGTTCAGAATTTCGTGCTCTTCAAAATGTCACTCTTAGAAATATAGCTTCTGAGATCTCAAAACTACTTTGTCAAATTTTCTTTTTTAGATACCTTGCAAAAGAACGTATCAAATACAAAATTTCATTAAATATTGAAATCACTATCTGAATTTGAGCCAGTATCAGTTCGTATCATGGACTGAGACTTCTCGAAATGAGAAAACAAAAACTTTCACGAATAATATGTATGAATTTATTACTCTATCTACAACCAAAGTGTTTTCTTCATCCATGTATAGAAATTCTAATAAAAAGTCAAAAGATTCAGTACTAAATCGTTTCAAAACCTGACTACTTCAATGTAGCACTCAACATCTATTTTTATAAAAAAAAAAAGAATGCTGAGTAAAAAAAATTTCATTTTACTTTAATACTCTCTGTTGTTAAAATCTTTTTCTGACTAATGTCATAACTATGCTAAGCTGGATAAGAGAAAGAAATTAGGTAGCATAATAGTATTAATCAAGACAAATCCATGAAAGAATTGTTTGTTTTTAACTACTAAAGAAGAATGGATGAGCTTTTTGAGAATCAAATTAAAACAAAAAGAAGTTAAATATAAAAGTATATTCATCATTTTCCTGTATCATAAGAAACAATATAATCCATATTTATTAATAACTAGCGAACTTCAAAATTATTTCATATTCCAAAATAGATGATAGAGTTTTATAAGACAGTTATTTAAATATAAAATAGTTTAATTGATACATTTCTTACTTTGATGTTTTTCGAAATATGAAGATTTTATTAAAACAACCATTAAATCTGACCCATCCCTGGAAGAAATTTGACAAGTCACAAAGAAAAGTCTACACAAATAAGTTGAACAATATAAAATAATATTCTTATAATTCTAATTCTTTTTTCTATATATTTAATCAATAGTTATTATTAAACTCGAAGGCTTAGTATGCAGAATAGATTTAAAGTTGTATTTTTCTAATATATTTACATATTTAATATACAGAATAAAATCACTGAATTATAGTTATATTCAAGTGCAAAACTATGAGCGAACATTGAAAAGAATTTCATAGTTTATATTTAGAATAAAACATCAAAAAGAACTTATTTCAAGTATTAAAGTTTTCTTTATAGATTCATTATTTTTGGCTAAACAATAATAATGTGAAGAATATATCTCTACTTTTGATGTTAAAGTAAATCTATCTAATCTAAATATAACAGAGATAGCCAAATAACGTACGATGCAAAAGTACTGGCACAAAATGTTTACCATCCATTTCTCTTCGATAGACAGATGCTGAAAGAAAACGTTTCTTTTTTACCAAAAGATAGAGCTTTTTCTCCTTTTTCGAATCGTATATAACTTATTTTTATAACACGTTTTTAAATGGAACGACACAATAAAAATGAGAGATACTCTCAAAACATATCGGCACTTTTTGTGGAATTTAGAAAAACAGCGGAAGATGTCGGTTCCTATATTTCTTCGATAACTCTTCAATAAACATGTTTGGAAAATAAATTTTTATTATCAGTTGATAGGAAATTTTCTTCTCATTCGAATGGTGTATGATTTATATTCGTCACACATTCATGAGTGAAATGAGACAAAGAAGAAAGACAAACACTGGCGCAATAAAATTGCAATTTTTATATAAATTCGTCAAAAGCATCTTGCTAGACCATAATTAATTTGATCTTTCCGTACTCATTAAAGGGTCCTTGTAAAACTGTAGTTACTTCGCCTTTTATGAATTCGTTAAAAAAAGCTTGTAGAACGATAGCTAATGATACTTAACTACCATCCATAAGACGTTTTCGACTGATTCACATAAAAGTTGCAAGTTTTTTGTGCAAGTATTTTTCTTTCTTATTCCTCTAATTACATTTACGTATGTGTGGCAAATATAAATCATACACCGTTCGAAACAGGAGAAAATTTCCTATCAACTGATAACAAAATTTTCTTCTTAGAGCGTATTTATAGAACAGATATAAGGATCAACATTTTGGACGTTCTTTTACAGAAAAAATGCGGATATGTTTTGAGAGTATCTCTCTTTTTTATTGTGTCGTTCCGTTTAAAAATGTGTTATAAAAATAAATTACATACGATTCGAAAGAGAAGAAAAAGCTCTATCTTTTGGTAAAAAAACAAACGTTTTCTTTCAGCACCTGTCTATCCAAGAGAAATGGAGGTCAACATTTTGTGCCATTACTTTTGCATCATACGTTATATTTTAATCATTTATATTCATGATGAAGTTTCATATTATTAAAGGAAAAAAAAATACATATCTAAATTGTTTATTTCTTTCTGGAAAAAAATTTTGTTTCGTCTTCACTAATAAACTTGTATATATAACGCTGTAGAAATTTATAAATAGATAATATGTCAATGTAGGAACTTTATTAAACTATAAATATAATTTTTATAAAAATCTGAATTTTGTTTAATTTCATATCGTTGGTATTGACATACCGTAATTCCTCCTTATTTCTCTAAGCATGTAATCATCAATTGTTTAATATTTAATTATTTTTTATGGTTTTGGATCGTCTTATCAGTGTCACTGCATTGAATAATGAGTTTTTTTCTACAATGAATTTGATTTTAACAATAAATTTGTCACTAATAAAGTTTTTACTCTAATGTTTTACTGAATTGCTGGACTATTTCATGAAATTTTCACTATGTTTAGATGGGGATTGGCGCATATACATTATGAATCATTTGCTTTCGTTTTCTTTGTATGTTTCTGAATGCAATTGTTTTCTTATGATATATAACAAGATGTCATCAAAAAACAAACGATTTCTTTTTTTTTTTGAAACATTAAGTTTTATTTATTTTTAATAACAAATTATATCGGACTTTGTATATAAAATTTTCTCACCATTAAAATCCAAACTGATCATTTATCCAACATTGTCTTCTCTATCTAAATGGATGTTCATGAATAAGCTAAGAGAAAAATCATCATCAACAATTGAAAATATTTCCTATTGGTTATTTCATTAAATATGAATTGTTTCTAAGTAAAATACTTTGTGCTTTCTAATTATCTTCTTTCTTTGTGTATGATATATATATATGATTGAAAAACAAAAACAAAAAAAATTTTTTTCTTTTAAAATTAATTTATTTACAATGAAAAACAGCTATTCATTTGTTTAAGTTCGTTATCCAACATTAATGAATTTAGAAAATAGTAGCCCTAAAGAGGGCTGTTGGGTTTTAAGATATTTTTCTTAATGTTATTAAATTAGGTCAAGCATATTTAAGCTTTTTCTGAAGCTTTGGCACCTGATGATGGTGTTGATTTTTCACCTTTTTCACCAGCTGGTTTCTTTTTGCTTGGACCAGCACCACTTGTTGTTTCACGTGGTGTTGATACAACGCCACCTTCAGCTGTCTTCTTTGGTAAAAGAATAGCTTGAATATTAGGCAAGACACCACCTTGAGCAATGGTAACACCTGATAATAATTTGTTCAATTCTTCATCATTACGGATGGCTAATTGAAGATGACGGGGAATGATACGTGTCTTCTTATTATCACGGGCAGCATTACCAGCTAATTCAAGAATTTCAGCCGATAAGTATTCAAGTACAGCACCTAAGTAAACTGGTGCACCAGCACCGACACGTTCAGCATAATTACCACGTCGAAGAAGACGATGAATACGACCCTATGAGAATTAAAAATAAAACAAAAAGATTGAAACAAGAATCTTTTTTTTTTTTTTTAGATTAGATATAACTTACAACTGGAAATTGAAGACCAGCTCGTGATGAACGAGTTTTAGCTTTGGCTCGTGCTTTACCACTTCCTGCAGTTTTTCCACGTCCTGACATTGTGTCTTGATTTGTTTTTTTACTTGACGAAAAAATGTAGAATTATCGAATATGATATAAAGTGAAATGATGTTTCAACTTAACTATATATATGTCTATCTAATGAACAACTTTTTTAACCAATCAAATAACAACACTAATGATTGGCTGTTGAACTAACAAACGAATAGTACATATAATGTGTATATAAATATAAGGAATGAAAAAAATATATATTTCTTCTTGATATTCAATCGTTCAAATTTTCTCAACATGCCACCAAAAACACCGTCGAAAGGTTCAAAAAAAGCTGTTACAAAAACATCAAAAGGTTCGTCTGGTACTAAAGGTACCGATAAAAAAGTCAGACGTAAACGAAAAGAAACCTACTCAATTTATATTTACAAAGTACTTAAACAAGTTCATCCAGATACTGGTATATCATCAAAAGCTATGTCAATTATGAATTCATTTGTTAATGATATTTTTGAACGTATTGCTGCTGAAGCAAGTCGTTTATCACATTATAATAAACGATCAACAATTAGCAGTCGTGAAATTCAAACAGCTGTTCGACTTTTATTACCTGGTGAACTTGCTAAACATGCTGTATCAGAAGGTACAAAAGCTGTTACTAAATATACAAGTGCTAAATAAACAATTGAATGATCAATTAATTAATTTAATAATAAACCCAAACAGCCCTCTTTAGGGCTACTATTTTCTTTTTTTTTTTTTTTATATTCACAAATGTTGATATTCGTGTTGAAACAAAATGAAAAAGATAATCTTTTTTTCTTTTTTTGATGTAGAAATAAAATCTCAATGAATAACTTTATGAGTTATTATTGAAAATATTTTGAATGATTCAAAAATCATATTATAAAAAAGAATAAAAAACAAATTTTCAATGTTGTAAAATTGGGTTTACGAGGCAAGTTCTCAAATTGATTAATCATTTTTCAGTCAAAACTATGTGCATCATGTAAAGTCAAATAGGCTATGAATATTCCAAAAAGAACTCAAATGCATTGCTTATTACTGTTGACATAATTTCAGTTTTCGAGAATATTGATTGATGATTTTTCAAAATAGGTAAACCTTCATTTTAACTGTTGCCTAAAAAAGAGGAGGAAACGTATATTTAGTTATTTGATTTCCATGTCTATTTAAAACTACATGACTTTTTTTCTAAGTGCATAGTCTTTAGCTTTATATAACAGTTATCATAAAACTAACAAGATGATGTTATTGTTTTCTTAGAAAAGTTTTATCCATTTTCTTTGTTAAAATAAGACATATTGTTATATACAAAAGAATGATATATGTTCTTCATAGGTCACACATGGAATATATTGCACTTAAACAGCTGATTATTCATTTCTCAATTTTGATTGGTCATTAAACGACATTCGTTAACTGACCAACGGGTAAATGTTTCCGATATACCTATAAAATGAATGTCAACTAGTATCTACTGATCATACATTCTTGTTCTTTTCTATTCAAACGAAAAAAAAATGTCTGGACGAGGTAAAGGTGGTAAAGGCCTAGGCAAAGGTGGTGCTAAACGTCATCGTAAAGTACTTCGTGATAATATTCAAGGTATAACAAAACCAGCTATTCGTCGATTAGCAAGACGTGGTGGTGTTAAACGTATAAGTGGTCTTATATATGAAGAAGTACGTGGTGTATTAAAAATATTCTTAGAAAATGTTATTCGTGATGCTGTTACATATACTGAACATGCTAAACGAAAAACTGTTACAGCTATGGATGTTGTTTATGCACTTAAACGACAAGGACGTACATTATATGGTTTTGGTTCATAAATTAAATAAACAAAAAGAAAATCCAAACAGCCCTCTTAAGGGCTAGAAAAAATTTATTTTATAAATTCAATAATGATGGGCAACCAGGATAAATAAACAACAATTAGTTTTTTGCTGCACATAATGCATAATTAATTGCTTTATTTTCTGACCATGACCATCGATTTGTAATTGGATTATAGAACATTCCAGGATTTAGAATAACAGTAAAACCATCTAAAATAAAAATAAAGTTAAAGAATAAATGTAAACAAAAAAAAAAGGAAAAAAAACTTATATTCTTACTTTTTTCAAATAAAGTTATTAAATCTGATGGACGAATAAATTTATTCCATGTATGTGTTCCAGGTGGAACTACTTGAAGAATATATTCAGCAGTAATAATACCAAGTAAATAAGAAGCCATTGTTTGATTTAATGTTGTAACAAAACAAAGACCTTTTGGCTAAAATAAAAATTATATATGAGTATAAGTTTTCTACTTAAAATTGGTTCGATAAGTTTTTTTAGTATGTAAAATTCGTTGAAAGTATTGACTATAAGGAATAGCTGGACTTTATGCTTACAGAATACATTCCATTAAAGTATTTGATTACTCAATGATTGTTTTCATAAATAAAAAGTTTCTTGAGCATTATTAAAGAAAGAAAAATTTGAATATTTTTTCCATATTTTGACCACATGGTCTAATATTTTTATCAACGAACGTTCTTAAAATTTGTTTTTAAACAGTATAATTGATAGCAATGAAAATCTGTTGCATGTTGCAAGTTATGAAAACTTATTTTGTTAACAAACTCTTTTTATTTATATATGAAACTTTTCGGGTAGACTGAGTACTAAGTTATACATCTGTAGAATAAATATGAAGCTGAGTGATACTAGTGTGGCAAGAACACTACTTTGCTAATAGAAGCTTATTTTCATGTGCTTGGTCACACATTTCTAACATATGATCAAATAGTTTTTCTTATTTTAGAACGATTAGAACATTGATTCACATTGAACAAATTTTCTGATTCGATATGCTAATTTTATAGAAAATTGATTAACCTAGATGAATAGACTTTGCGCAAAAAGATAATATTATTTAACTGAAAAGTCATTTTTGAAAAATAGAAAGGATTATTAAAATAAACAATTCAATATGATCTATATTCTGAGTAGTTCTAAAACGATTTTCGTACAATGTTTGTTAGTCTGAAAAAAACCAGCATGATAAATAATCCATGATTGAGTAGTTTTTGGCGAGAAAGTGAGTTGTCAGTTGAAAACATGTCTTCATAAGTCTAAAGAATGATTAATAAAAATCTGTTTTGTTTCTCTTATTTCAATTCTAGAGGACTTGTATTTCTTCAAGTTATTCAGATTTTTCTCATGTATCTAATCATAATAGCTTGATCTTAATGAAAAATTATTCATATCTCAAGAATACTTATTAGGAGAAAATAAAATAAATCTGTATTAATCATTATTTAGTCTTGAGAAAGACTTTGTAAAATATATCGTTTTTAAATAAACATAATTGAATAACATTAACGGATTGTTTTTTTTTAAACATACTTTGAGTAGTCTTGATATATTTCCAATAAAACTATCTACATCATTAATATGTTCAATAACTTCTGAAGCAACAATAGCATCATATTTTTCTATTTGTTCAACATCTTCACATAATTCTTCAAGTGTCACTATACTAACGAAAATAGATAGATCAAAAGAAAAAAATTCATTTTAAATAAAAATCAATAATAAACCATGTTTATATTTAAGATTGTCTTTTAGAGAAGGATCCATATGATATTCAGCTGTAGAAATATTTTCTGAAACAGCATCAATGCCTAATACTGAAGCACCAAGACGTGCTAAAGGCTGTAAAAAAAAAAGAATAAGAAAAAAAGTTTTTTTCTTTATTAATAATATACGAACTTCAGTTAGAATGCCACCACCACAACCAATATCAAGTAATTGAATACCTTTTAAAGGTTTTAAAATATCTTTTATTTCTGATGATGATTGAACAAGTTGTTCACGAATAAATGGTATTCGGAGTTGATTAAGTGAATGCAATGCAGCGTATTCTCCGGTGTCATTCCACCATGATGATGATAACTGACGAAATCGATTTATTTCTCCTTGATCAACAGAAGTCTTTATAGATAATTGACGAGATAATAATGTAATTGACCTATGAAATGATTCGAAGAATATATTAGAATAAAAGATTAAAATAATAAAATTAACCTAAATTGAGGAATAAATCTGATGAAATGACGATATGAAATCGACATTGTTGAAAAATTGATATCGAATGTTTAAGAATTTCTAATTAGAGAAAAAAAACACGCTTCTAGTTAGTTCGTATGAATGAATCATCGCATGCTGTTAAACACAATTGGTTGGTTGAAAGAGAACTACGCAATGGATTTCGTTCCTGTTCGCTAGAGGTCGAATATGTATGAGTACATCTTATTTTATATTGTATTCATGTTCTTGTTTTATTTTGATGATTTTATTCGGTAGTTGTTTGTTGAAAAACAAGTTTTGCGAGCAACAGAATATTTATCTTTGACTTAAGAATGAAAACATTTTCGTAGAATTTTTAATCGAGTATTATATTGTATATCAATAGATAAAGTATTATATGTCGAAGATATTCATGCTCCTTTTTTTTTGCTGGTATTATATTATGGTGGAATCAAAATTCAAGATGAGGACTAGGCGAATTTGTCATCAGGAGAAAATAACGCATTATATTATGTCATGACTTGTTGAAATTTAATATAAATTTCCGTTTATCTAATTACTCCTGTCTTTAAAATATACAAGGCACCTATGATATATTCTATTTGTAATATTAAAACAAATCAGTTCGCATAAATTTTCGATGCATACATAATTGTTAGTAGACCGTAACATAATTATTGGAATGATCGAATAAGTCTGAATGCAAGTATTACATGTAATCTGCATTGGGAAATTTAACTCCTTTACTAATTAATGTTGAGAAACAAATAACGAAAAAATGTCCTAATCCTTTAAAAGATATTTATTCCACTCATATCGAACAGTTTCTAGTATATCACTAACTATTAAATAAGTGTTGTGAACGATATACTTGACATTTCTTCAAAGAACAATCCATAGTTATCATTTGGGTTTTACTGAATGACCTAAAAAATTAATGTCATATTCACTCATATATTAGGATGCCTGCGGAAGCGCCAGATAGCAAAACTCTGCAATAGGATATGGTGACACGAAACAAGTGTTATTTTCGTGTAAGCCAAAATGAAAAGTAAAATATTGTTCCTGAAAAAACAACTGAATTTGTGTTATACTCAGAAAAACCATGCAAATTTTCGGTATTGTTCGAAAGATATTCATTTTCTTCTTAAACTTCTCCTGACTATAAGTGCAATAGTTGCACAAAGCCTCTATGTGTACTGTATTAATACAGATATTACATTAAACTCTTCTAGTTATTGTGCAATTATGGTTTCAAAAATACCCTAGTAAATAACTCACCGTAATAGCTCTTGGATCGTCATTACTTTACCAGAAGAACCTACAAAATGTGTTTAGAAAACTTGAAATCATTTCTGTTTTACGTGTGATATTCTAATATATGCGTATCACACAGAGAAGCTTGAGAAGGCAAAAATCTGCTGCCGTAGAGGTATTCATTTAAAAAACATTCTAAAATGGAGACATACCGTAATCAATAGTCTCCGTTACCATCGTTATTTACGTCTCAATGAAAACAATCACCCATTCTGAAGTCCGTTATAATATCGTTTTTACATGTGAATAAAGTGTCTTAAAACTATGATTAGATAGTCTTCCAGAACCTATAGTATATAACGTTTGATAATCTTGTCTACTACTGCTGATTGGACCACACTTGAATGCTTCTATGAAATGTGCTTGCTGAGATTGCAATCCAATTCAGCATTTTTATTTTTCAATTTCATTTCTTTGATGGTACCGTGAAACCTCAGTTATAAGAATTTTTGTGTTATATTACACGATGATCAACATGATCTTAATTATCAAGTTACTGAGGTACAATACACATTATTTTTCATATTTAGTTTATTCAAGTTCTAATGAAGATGTATCTCGCCTCATATCAAAACAACGGTTCATAAACATGTACAGACAGTGAAAACATCTATGATAAATTTCTTATTTCATGAAGTATGCTCTTGAAATAACAGTATTGTACGATTGAAAGAATTTTCTCTTGTACTTTCATATATTTTATGAAGGTTACGGTAGAAAACAATGTGTTTTATTGCCATTTGAAGTTGTTTAAGACATCGACTCTGATGATCGGAATGATCGTTCGAGTTGAAGTATCGAATTTACGTTTGATTTCAAGGTTCAAGCAAACATATATTTTATATTATTTCAAGAATAAACTAAATGAAATACGTTCAAATCTCGGAAATCTATACCGTCGCTAAATTTAATAGTTCGAGTAAAATAGTGAAAAATGGATTGCAAATAGTTCTACATCTATTCTTTTAATATTATCATATACTTCAGTATATGACTTAAAGATAGAGGAATCAATATGCTTTTGAACACAACCTCATACGATACATGATGTTAAGAGAGTAAACATATCACAAATTATCTTAATAATCGATAAAACTTTTGATAGGCGAATAATACACACGATAAAATTTGATGGAATTTCTCATTGTATCTATGATAGAAAAAGATGGAAAAGTTTCTTTTTTTTTCGTTTAATTTGAACAATATTCATAGTATGAGCTTATAAAATCAATGAAATTAAGATCTTTCAACATTATCAATTTCTATATTATCTGAAGAAAATACAAATTGATTCGATTTAAAAAGATACTTATTCTAATAAAGTCAACAATGGTATCAAAATGTCTATCAAATTTTTTTATAAGAACTTGCGTTGTTTTCTTATAAAGTTTGCTCGATATTCTTACATTAGATTTGGTAGTTATGGAGATACTATTATTGTTAAACATCCGTAGATCACTCGCTAGTAAACTAATCTAAATCAGAATCGCCATTTCATAGCATAATGCATATATTAGAATTATGATCAATGTAAGTTGATTTTTGTCTATGTTTCGTTTTTACAAAACCACTCATTTTTCTTTCTTTCTCTTATTTTATTTCATAAGAGAGATATTCAATGAAGAAAATTAATACGGAACAGGAAGAACAAAATACGCAATGGAATATTATCATTTTAAAAAGAACGTATTTTTGATAAGTGATTCATAGAAGTAGATTGACAATTTTGTAATACTTATTAGTTATTGTGTTAGAAAGAATTGTGGAAAGAGAGTGACATCGCAATTTTATAAAAAAAAAACACTTTTTAATTGCATAAACTTAACATTGTTTTGATGTTGAAATAATAATAGTAAAAAAAAAAGTAATGTCACAATTTTATAAAAGTCAAACACATTTTTTATTGTGATACACGATGTATATTTATAACAAATGACACACAATTTTTATTAAAACTTGACGCAATAACGTCTCCTTTTTACTTTTTTTCTTTTGGTTTCAGTAATCAACGATCAAATATTTTGTTTTGCATCTAACGATGTTGGTAACATACGCAAAGGCATTATTTTACCAAAAGAAAAGAATCAAGTAGGTATTTTTATGAAAAAGGCACGATAACCTACATAACAGCTTATGTATCAAATACTTTATACATGTGATAGTAAATTTAAAATTCATTTAATTATAGGATTATTGAAATCGATTTATACGGTGGGTAAAAATGTTTTTTCAGGAGTAATAATGCTCTGATTTCAAATAAGATCAACAACAAATTGTATAGCTCATGAAAACTTGTCTAAAATGGGATTTATCAATACATAACAATAAAGATTATGGCGACTTTTGCTTGTATGAATTTAAGAAACTTTTAAAACTTTTACTCTATATCAGCAAAGAAAAATTCCTTTCGTAAGGCAATTCAAACTAGATTACACGTAAACTGATGAATATAATCAGTATGACGAATATTATCATCATAAAGATTGCGTTTCGTCTCTCATAGCAATTTCTTTCAGCTTTATCATCAGTTTAAATGACATCTAGTTCGAACTATCTCATTAAAGGAATTTTTCTTCGATTATATGTCGTAGGATTTTAGAAATTCTTTGAATTCGACACGCTTTAGTTTAGTATAAAATATGTTATGGATCTTAATTGAAATCACAGCATCACCAACGTAGGAAAACATTTTATTGTTTAGCTCTTAACATTCATAATAGATTTTCATCTTCTAAGATGAAACATAAAACAAAGTTTCACAAATTCAATTATATAGTCATATGTGAAAAAATGTTTATATAAATTATAATACAAAATTACTAAGAAAATCTTCATAATGAATCCATTCGTTCGATGAAATAATAAAATGAAAAAAAGAAAACACTTTCATTTGTCTTATTGTTTTTTTTTAGAATATGACTCAAGAAGATAATAAAGTAATATGGTCTTGAAAATCTAATAAGAATCCATGGTCATTAAAAGAGCCTGATGAATGGACTCCATTTTGAAATATAATTAATAGTCAGATTAAAGAAGCTTATTTAGCAAAACAAAATGAAATAGTTATTGATAGAATTTATAAAATTGATTTAACTAAATTTTTACAAATAAACATGATTGATCCTAATAAGCAACGACCTATTCAACGATTTTCAAATAATGAAAATATACTATCTTATTATCGTCGTGAACCTTTTAATTTTGTTCAACCAATCGAATATTCAATTAAAAATGATTCTCCATATCATGGTTCGACTTTTATTACTGATTGGTTAATTATGTTTACTAAAGCTACATTAAAAATACAATTATCACAATTAATTGATGCACTTATCAATAAACTTTCAATTGAAGGTAAACTAGCTGGTTATCCTAAAGATACGCAAAATTTAATTGAAGAAATACGATTAATAAAAAAGAAATGTATTGAAAATTTACAAGAATGTTGTGCTCGATTATATATAAAACCATGTTTTTTATTTAAAATTGTTAATAAAACATTACGTGATAATGATCATACAACATTAACAACACTTGGTCCATTTTGTTATCTTTTATTTAATTATATTGGTGGACAACATAATGATTATTTATCAGTACGAAAACAAATACAACTATTTATAAAATCTAAAAAACAAGATCGATTTATAACTGTTTATCGTGGTGAAAAATTATCTTCAAAAGAAATTGATAAATATAAACAAGTTGTTGGAAAAGGTTTTTATTATAAATGGTCATCATTTATATCAACATCAAAATCATGTAAAGTTGCAGAAATGTATGGTTCAAATGTTTTATATATTATTAAAATATAACAACTATCATTAAGTGATCAATATGTTGATTTATCACCTATTGCATATGTTACAGAAGAAGAAGAAGAAATTCTATGACGACCTGGTGTTCGATTGAAAATTGTTAAATATGAATTTGATTCAAGAACAGAACGATATATTTTTTATCTACAAAGTTTACCATCATTTATTTCAAATATAACATAATGTAAATAAGAATATTTTATGAAACAAATATCAATGAATCGAAAAAATTCTTTTCTTCACTCGCATCAGTAGCATAACCAAGGTTTGGAAGTAGGAGAGTCTCTGTCTTTCCACTGAATCCACCACTAACTCACATCTCATCCTAAATTTGTAAGTTTGTTTTGATCGAAATATGTTCAATGTTCTTGAGTTACAATACATATCGTTCTATTATTAGTCAAATTTTAAGTAAAAAGAATTATCATATTGTAATGGGACATTTGTCTTTGATTCATTTTCTATCATAGAATGAAACAATTAAATTCTTCATTAGTGCTTGAATCGCTTTGTTATTTATAAATGATTCAAAATATTCGTCATTTATTCTTGATTGTCTTCTAAAAACGTAATAACCTTCCAATATAATGTATTCATTGGATTAGAAGTCTTATCAATTTGATCTTTATATTTTTATTACTATTTTTGTCTATTTTTTTTAAAATTTTTGATACGTTTGTATCACCAGAAAAGTCTTCTCTGTTTATTGGCACAAATGACGTATTCTCATTGACAATTGTGTTTTGCAAAGCTATGTGGCATGGATAAACTGAAACGAAATTGAGGGTGTGGGTTTTAGTAGGCTCAAACATCTGTGTCTCATGCTATTAAATGAATAGTTTTATGTAGTACATCAAAATTTTCATACAAACATCAAAATTTTCCATAACCTTCATAAGTAAATAATTACATTTTCATAGTGAAATAAACTTAGAAAGCTTTCTCGAAGAAACATTGAATACTAGATTGATGCAAAAAAATAACGAATAGAAAAATGAACAGAAGAAAAGGTAGATGAAAGCTAAAGATTTAGGATGGAGTGTGGCTATGCGTATGACTGAAGGTTTGTGGGTAAAGAAGAGACCTACAACCAAACTCTCTCACACTCATATCCTACAAAAAATTTTTTCATATAAATCTGAATTCCATATGAGTCAATGTTGGATCTCACATTACCAATGACATGAAATAGTACTCATTCATTATACATTGAAAAAAAAGACCTGATACGAAACATTTTCAACAAAATGAGCAAACGTAGCTCAAAAAATTTTCTTTTGAAAATCGAAATTATAAAGAAAGATGAATGTTTGCATGTTTGTTTAAGTGCGCAGACTTTTTGATATTATTGAGTCTAGTCTACATTCAAAAGATTTCATCTTCCATGTCGACAAAATATATTCTATTGTCAATACACCATATTGTATTGATTTCTATGAAAATTCGATTGTAACAAATGGTATTAATCAAACTACTGAAAAATATATCACTATTGTTAAATATTCTAACATGTTTTGAAATATTTGACAACAATTTGTTTCTATATTCATCATGGTTGCTTTATTTTGTATGAGTAAAGAAGTGAAAATTTGCATTATGGAATATCTACAATATCTATAGCAATGTAGACCATCGAAAAATATTGGAAATCAATAGAACTTAATCTATCTCTAGAGCTCAAAACTATCAAAGTTTGTATTTGAAATCAAAGAGGGTAAAGTAAGAAAAACAATGGTGTTCTACTTCAATCTATTATTTTACTATTGAGAAGATCCAAATGTGTTTGTATTAAAGTGACATCTTTCGTAAGACCTTATTATTTGTTAATGGTTAAGTGCATATAAATATCCATGAGAATCATATAAAAAATATTTAGAGTCTATACAAGTGTAGATTTTTAATCAATGATTTATTGGGCACATACATAAGTATCTCTTTTCTCCTTGTAGAGTATCTCTGTGTACACAAAAGAAAAAAAAATCAAAACATGTGGTGTCTTCATTTGCATTCTTCACGACCTTTGTGATTAATATGTAATATTAATTCTGTTGTTTTTTATGATAATAAAACACAAGAATATTGTATATTAAAAAAAAAAATACTCTCCGATTATTTCTTCTTTTTACTTAATTTTAATAAAGGTTTTAATCAAATAAAAATGTTTATCAAAATATTTCAAATACTTTTGGTTATTTCAACTATTGTGACTGGTATGTCACCAGAAGAAAAAGCTCAACTTCGTTTAAAAGTTATCGATATGTTTAAACATGGTTTTAATTCTTATATGGTACGAAATAGAATTTAATTTCTCTTTTTTATTTTATAATCTATTCATAGAAATATGCTTATCCTGCTGATGAATTAATGCCATTAAGGTAAACAAATTTTGTTTTTTCTATAAAAATCAGTATCATATGTTTTTTTTTTTTTTATTTATAGTTGTAAAGGCCGATATCGTGGTTCAGAACCATCTCGAGGTGATATTGATGATGCACTTGGAAAGTAATGAAATATTTTTATTAATAAAATCATATATCGATTAATATTAATTATTTAGTTTTTCATTAACACTTGTTGATAGTTTGGATACATTAGCGGTATATAATAGAAATATTTTTGAATTAATTGTTTTTTTAATAAAAATTTTTTAATGTTTTAGGTTCTTGGAATGTTCGATGAATTTGAACGTGCTGTTCGTCAAGTTATTCAATATGTTTCATTTGATCGTGATGTTATTGTTTCTGTTTTTGAAACAAATATTCGTATGATTGGGTAATATTATAATAGTCTCATAAGTACTAAAGTAAAATAGAATAAACATATATTTCATACAGATTTATATTTATTATTTTATTTATCTTTGTAAATAAATAAAACAATTATGATTAATTATTTGATTTTTTTTTTGTTTTTGTTAGAGGTCTTCTTGGAGGTCATATATCTGCAAAATATATTAATTCACGTTATCCATTACGTTTATCTTGGTATCGTGATGAATTATTAGTATTAGCTCATGATTTAGGACTTCGTTTATTACCAGCATTTAATACAACAAGTGGTTTACCATTACCACGTGTTAATCTTCGTTATGGTATTGATTTAACATTATCAAAAAGTGAACGTGAACGTTTTACATGTACAGCATGTGCTGGTACATTAATATTAGAATGGGCAACATTATCACGTTTAACAGGAAATTATTTATTTGAACAATATGCTGATCGTGCTATGTCATATTTATGGGAACGACGACATCGACAATCAAATTTAATGGGTACAATACTTAATGTACATTCAGGTGATTGGATTGTACGTGAATCAGGCATTGGTGCTGGTATTGATTCATATTATGAATATTTATTTAAAGCATATGTTTTATTAGGTGAAAAAAATACAGATTATTTATCACGTTTTCAAGAACATTATTCATCAATAATGTCTTATGTTCAACAAGGTGTTGCTATGGTTAATGTACATATGCATCAACCATATCGTTTAGCTAAAAATCATATGGATGCATTATTAGCATTTTGGCCTGGATTACAAGTAATGACAGGTGATTTAAAACCGGCTATTGAATTACATGAAATGCTTTATCAAGTTGTTAAAAAACATAAATTTTTACCTGAAGCTTTTACAACAGATTATAGAATACATTGGAATTCACATCCATTAAGACCAGAATTTGTTGAATCAACATATTTTCTTTATAAGGTAAGCAAATATTTGATATAAAAAAAAAAAATCTTTTATTTCATCTATTGAGTATTTTCTCAATCATTTAGTAATTAAATAATATTTAGATCCTTTGTAAAAAAAAAAGTATATCATTATATTGTTGTCTTTTAACAAATCTGTAGACATTTTGAATACTCTTCGAATATACATTTTTACAAAATAAATTGTACTATGTCACCTGACAAACATATTTTTGTATATTTACACAAGTTAACAAAAGAATAAAAATAAACTATACTTGAGTACGTTCTTTTTCTTTGTTTTTTTTTCGATTTTATTTCATGACGAATACGTCATCAAAACTAGATTATTACTAATATTATCTTATTTCGTCAATAGAAATAACCATTTAGTCTATATATTATTGAAACTCTCTTATTCATTTAAATATTATTTTTAAGGCTACTAATGATCCTCATTATCTTGAAGTTGGTCGTACAATATTAACTAATTTAGAAAAACATGCACGTGTACCATGTGGTTATGCTGCTTTATCTGATGTATCTACTGGTCAACATGAAGATCGTATGGATTCATTTGTATTAGCTGAAACATTTAAATATCTTTATTTATTATTTGATTCTATTCCACATCGTTATATTGATATAGATCAATTTATATTTACAACAGAAGCACATTTATTACCACTTAATTTATTATTATTTAATATAAATGATACATTAAAAAAAGAATTTAATAAACAAACATTATTATCAGCACGTTTATATGAACAAAAAAATCTTTCATTAACAGAACGATTTAATGAAAAACGTGCAAAAAATAATCAATGTCCAGCTTTTAATGATCAATTTCAATCACATCAATATAAAGAACAATTAAGAAAAAATATTCGAGGTGATCAAGATATGACTGAAACAGTAACAACATCATCATCAATTGGAATTGGAAAACAAACGAGAGAGTAAAAAAAAAAAAAAAAAAATTTAATTCTTTTTATTTTTTGTTATTAAAAAATTTTGTTAGATTCATATTCATGCAATTCTATTAATTTAATCTATTTTTTTTTTTCATATATATATATCTTGTTTTTCATAAAAGTACTAAACGAAACAATGATGATTATGATTTTGCATGAGCAGAAGACCTTATTCAGAGGATGCGCATCTCATGTAGATATTAAAATCAAAATTTTTTCATATGTTTTGAGAAAAAAAAAGTCATTCTTTTCTTTCACACGATGAAATCCAATAGGTTCTCAAATTACAGTTCGTGCCATTAAATAAAATCTCGATGGTTATGGAATGACCTTGAACAAATCATTAATAGTTGTTTATCTCGGATCATCCATACTGATTAAATTATGACATATAAGAACT